TCTTTTCTCTCTCTCTCTCTCTTCTTGCCTCCCTCTCTTTCTCTTTCTCTTTTCAACACTGATCTGGGCGTCTAAGAACAGAGTCCATTTGACGCTGCATATGCTCCGGAGCATCAAATACGTGAATGTGATTGGTCTATCCATCGCTCTGGAGCACTTGCAGCGCTAAGTGAAACCTGTGGTCTGTTCTTTTCAGCTGCACTGCTGAACTGGTGCAATAAGTTAGAGTAAGAAAAAATATACTTATCTCACTTTAACTTGTTGCACCAGTTCAGCAGTGCAGCTGAACAGACCATTGGTCTAAAGGTACATTTGCAGAATGAGCTAACAACGTTACCGTGTCATTCTATCTTTGTCGTTCCTTAAATGAATATACAACAAAGATAAAATTATTCATTAGCGCTTTTAGGGAGTATAGATATATAAGTCTGTGGCTTTTCTCCTTGAAATTTTCAACAAAGAATTTAAAAGATATTTGAATAGGGGGGGAGGGTACTAGATTTGTAATAAATGTATCATTTATAATTTCGAAGAATTATACTATTATTTTGTTACATTCAAAAAAGCTTGAATAGACTCATTAAATAAATGTTTTTGTTTGAACAAAAATTTAGCATAATCAATATTGAATGTAAAGAACAATAAGAGTTAAAACACAGGTCTAATAGTGCTATTAAAACTATAAAAAAAATAGTGACCCAATCTCACGATGAGAAGAAATTTATTAATCATCAAACGCGTTTCGGTCTAACTTCACAGACCATCTTCAGTGATTACAAATAAAAAACGAATTATATTTAAATGTCACAAACATAAGGTCGCAATAATCGATATAACAAAGGTTGTTGTTACAAAAGTTGTCGCTACAAATTTTACTTACGGGAATCGAAAGAACCAACGCAAATAAATACAAATAGTCATTATGACAAAGAAAATCTCCCCCTGGAAGACCGAAGGTATTAGTCAATAAAGGGACGTCTACATTGGAAGTAAGCAGTAAGAAGTAGGAAGTAAGAATAAAAAATTGACCAATCATAGTTGATTATTCTTCTCATATTCGACTGTGGTTGGTCAATTTCTTACTCTTACTTCCTACTTCTTGCTATTTACTTCCAATGTAGACGTCCCTTAACTTG